AAAAGGTATTTTTAATCCAAAAAAAAGGTAAGAGCAAAAAGCTAAAAACAACCCATGTCACTAAAGCAAAGATGAACCTAAAAAAAAAAAAAAAAAAAAAAAAAGACTGACTTTTCACATAAAAGGATACCTGCCTGGCTGATAAGCATTCTGAAAGGTGTCCAGTTTCATCAGTCATCAGGAAAATGGAAACTAAAATAGTTAGATAATGCCACAGCCCCACTAGAAGGTCTAAAATTTTTAAAAAGACTGATAATGCCCAGTGTTGGCAAGGATGTGGTAGAGATGTCCTCTCACAAATGGCTGCTTGGATATATTTGGTATGACTATTTTAGAAAACCACTTGGCATTATCTCCTAAATTTGGACATTTGCACACACTTTGACCCAATATTGTCACTCATACTGTACACGCTACAGAAATGCTTACATGTTTGTTCACCAAAACATATGTTCAAGTGAGTTCACAACTACATTATTTGTTAATAACCAAGAACTAAGAACAGCCCAAATTTCATCAAAAGTAGGTAAAGGAAAATTGTGATCTGTTCATACAAAAAGCAATCATCAAACTGCTCCTTACATAACATCATGAGTGACTTTCATAAACATAATGTTCAGGGAAAGAAACCAGACCCAGAAGACACAAACTGTCTGATTCCATTTATAGAACTGGAGGAGAAGGAGCATTTGATTTCGACTAGGAGGGCTTACCCATCCAGAATCTCTTCCTGCTTCAAATTCGGCACTATTCTACCCTATCAGGCAGGAGATATACAAGTCGGAGGTCCCAGATCTGATATTGGTTGCGTCTGCTGAGACCTGACTAATGTGTAATTCTTGGTGTTGAGCACTGTTGCTACAAAACAGACTAAATTATCCTCTGCCGGAATCTGGCACCGCCTCACAAGTGCTTTCCAAACAAGCAGTACCGAACTTTGCCAGCAGATGGCGAGCCTTGTACACATCTGTGCCGAATAACCCGCAAGAATTTAAAGTTCCAGTTGAACGTCTGCGAAGATACTTTCATGTTAAATAGAGCTGTTTCAAACTTTGCCACTTCCTTTCTTTTTGATTCTTCACCCTGGCATTTTCCATAGAACTGCTTGAGTTTCATTCAATCACTTTGCTTTGTATCGTCATTGAAATGTGAATAGTTTGCCCAAACCGATTTACTTAAAAAAAAAAAAAAGCTTTGGTTTTGTACATTTCTGTAGTTACACTTGAACTATTAGGGCATTTTCTTTCACCAGGTCTTGTGAATGGAAGGCCAGGGTACTTTCTCAGGCTGTTCTTGGATTTACGTCTCTCTTAAAAGGGTATCTTTTATTGCATCTTCTTCCTCCTCCTGCCTCTCCTTTTATGGTGCCCATCGGGCAGGCTGCTACCTTTCCTCACTGTGCCTGACAGATTCTTGGGGCTGCTGGGTGACTCACACTTAGCCTTCATCCCTGTGGAGGCTTGGAGCCTCTTCCTCTGTATCCTTCATCTGCTCAGTATGCTGCCTTCAGTCATGACTTAGTAACTTTGGAGAGCATCAGAGTGTGCCTGCATTATGCTTCAGTTAAAAGTCACCAGCAAAAGGGCCAAACTTTCCCTCTGTTCAACATTGTGTTCTATTCTGGGAACTTACACAGAGATCCTAGAGAAAGATACTCCTTTTTATATATACAGGCACAATACACACACACACACACACACACACAAACTTTTTTAAATAACTAGATGCCATGATGAGATCTGTTGCTGCTCCACAGCATATGATCTGTCCCCACACCCCCATCTTTGGAGTCTTCCCCAACTTGCCAGTGAACATGCTGCTGAGCTGACTCAGGAATAAGCAAATGTTTCGTTCTTCAGAACATCAACAGGACCACCTGCCAAATATTTTCTAAGCAGTGTGACATGGTGCATGAATTCTGGGTTCACAGTGGGGTGCATTCAGAC